CATTTCGATACGAAAGTACCAATATGGTTGAACACCTGGCTGGGCTGTCGTTCCTTCCTAATGATAACCCTGAGGTGGTGAATTCAGTAACTCCACAATGATTGGCTTCAGGAAAGTGGGGTATAGGAGTTAGACATGTAGGAACTAGGGATAAGCTTATGATCCCAGCTTGTTACTTATTAAGGAAAAGGGGAGGGTTCTTTTTAATGAAGGAGCATTAGCTTCTCGCCTGTATCAGCCTAAGTCTGTTCCTCTTCGTGTGCGCCCTCAAGCACATGTGAGCAGCGCTGAAGCAGTCTTCTCGCTGTCAGTGCTTTGTGATTTGATTCTTACTCCGCATATTTGTCGGGGTTTTTGATTTCAAGTGGGTTGGCAGGTCAATCCCGAAGTGGTGAAAGTCTTGCCGTAACCCCCTCGAGAAAGTCAGCTGAGACACGTTTTACAAATGCGCATCCAGCGCTCTCGTTTCTCTGGACTATTTTTAAATATCGTCCAAGCGGCAGACAATGTTGGCTGTGAGCCAGCCCGAGCATGGCGCGCGCCGTTGCTTGTCGCGCGTTTCTGATTACGATCATCAAAACAACGCGTTAGGCTTGACCGATGACGTAACCCTGTTCTCTTGGACATCGGTGAGTATTTTTTTCGGTGCTAGACGCTTTCCGGCGCGGAGGCGCCGAAGAGGGGCCTTTTAACATTTTGCGGCGATTAATTGGTTCGGCGGTCCGAATATTCGGTGCATCCCTATGAAACACCCTTTAATTTACTGAAACGCATGTCGGGAACCCCAAGGCGGCCCCATGCATAGGCGCCGTAAAATGCTGCTTCTTATTTTAAGTTTTCGTTTTGCTTGCGTCCGCCTTCTTGTGGGGGGGGGGTCCCAGGTGTGTAGACCGACATATGCAACAGCTCTGGGGGTCCAACGGCTCCGGTTGTGTAAGCCCTATATGATCATTTTCTGATTACGATTGAAATAGCCCGCCTCCCTCTCCCCAAGTCTCCTGCTGCTGGGCTGTCAGAAGAGGGGGAGGAAAAGAGAGGCAGGCAGCCGTTTATTAAGAATTATTTAACAGGAACAGCAGTCGTTATCAATCTGTTTTAAAACTCTCAATAAATAACAAAGAAGACCTCTGATCGGCCTTATTCTAATTTTGTACGGAAGATTAAACTTTAACGACATGTTGGACGGCGGACATTCTTTTTTAACGGAACTCTGCGCCACGGTTCCCCTCGTCCCTTGGAAGTGGCGGGGGGAGAGGTGGGTGTTTTTCTCTGCTGGTGGACTACCTGGAGGGGATAGTACAGCAGAGAGAACAGCCGTGCCTTCGCGCAGAAGGAAGGGCAACCATGCTCCGGGTCTTCTTCGCTGCTTTGGTGTATTTTGTGGCGGCAGCAGCCCAGGCTTACGATAGGGCCTGGCATAGTTTACTACAGCGTTCTCCAGGCATTTCCAGCCCGTTAGTGTGAATGGCAACATTAATGAATCGAATCGTTGAACGAAGACTTTTTTGCGTTTGCGTGTATGTGTGACCGATATGCGTCCTCGTGGGGCCGGGGTCTAAGCCAAACTATATCCAGGTCACGCGGGCGCGCGCCGAGATCTGCTATTTTAAAAGTAAACGTCAACACCATATCGACCGCTAAGTATAGTCTATATTAGAACGAGACAAATTTCTTAAACATATATATTGTTTTTTGCTAAACTATGGACAAGATGTCGTTGAGGGCGATGACGTCAGAGGCATCGTCCTATGTGCCAGGCGTTAGCCCGGCAGGCCCCAGCGCCCCAATTTAACCCCTGGGTATTTGTGAGGAGTCCTATATGGCATTACCCCGCTGAAGCTCACCAAATAAAAAACAAACAAAAAAGTTTAATATATTTTCATAGTTCAAAGTTTTGTCAATTGTTTGCTTATTGGGTAAATCTGGTTTCTAGATGGTTTTTCAGGAGTTTTACTTGCACAGAGTACAGAAGAAACAAAGCAGCATTACTGCATTGTGCCTTGACGCTTACAGAGAGTTGAATTTCATGTTGGAGAGGAGGCTTCGGTAGTCTGCTGCACTCTGTTTAAGTTGGCTTCTTACCAATCAATATAGTCAATGTGAGGTAAGTTGTTGTAACCGGTTTTGAACTCAAAGTTGCGATGAGGTCTTAAGAAAGTGTATTGGAAAGGGTCTTAAAAGGATAAATTTGACCTCAGTGACCTCAGAAAGTTAAACTCATCTTGACGTTGACGTCATCAGCCGAGCATCCGAATGTAAAACACACACTGTTGTAGAGCTCATATTACCAACACATGTCTACTAAAGACCGGGAAAAGAAGTGGGGGGAAACTATTCTGCAACGCCCGTGCAACTGTGTGTTGCCAGCATAGAGAAAACGGACGGTGGCGACTTAGGCTGTGCACTTTAATCGATGCCTGCCGATCTAGATATATATCGATATTTTGTTTCCCGAGAAAGTATCGATATTTCAGCCGCGGGTATCGATACATTAACTCCCATTCAAATCCCCCGTGTTCCGCCTGGCACTCTGCATGAAGAGCGGTTACGTCAGCCAGCCGAGCCGCTAGTGTCGCTGTAGAGCATTTCTAGATACACAGACGCCGGTGTCTTCTTCTCGCAGTGAGTGCGAAGCGGTTCAGGAGTATGGCGGCAAACATTAACCACACTGGAGAGGGTCTTCTCTACCGCCGGAGATATCGGCCCAATCCCAAACCACTCCCTCGACGGAGTGAACTCCGTCTGTAGCCACACTCGCAGCTCAACGAGGCTCCCTCCTGTCAGATGGAGGGAGTAAATACAGCAGCAAGCTTTGGGACGGCCTCCCCTCTCTCCGGCAGAAACAGGAAATGCCGTAACTGTATGTAACAACGGTTTCAAATCAACATCTCTTAGACAAAAAGTTTAAATTAATAACTCAAATAAAACTCCTAACATCTTTCATTGTGTTTCAAAGCTCTTTTAGTTTTAAACCTGATGTTTATAAGCTTCTTAGTTTTTGCAACGGTCTGTAAATATACACAACTTTATAATAAAATGCACACATTTACCTTTTTCTAGACTAAACACAGGTATGATCCTAAGTTAAAACATATGTTGGATATGGATGTTTGCTGGAACTACTTGTTAACAGCTTGACAGCAGCGGACACACACAGCGCGACTCCGGTCAGGTAGAGACCGGTCTCAAGTCAGCAACGCTGCAGACTCGCTGTTTGAGGGCTTGATAGCCCACTCCCCCTCCACACCGCTCCACACTCGTAGGCGGACCCTCCGCGTGAACGCGCAAACGGAGGGGTAGGGTGTAGGGGGCGGTTTGGGAATGGGCCATCGTCAATGCTCAGAGAAGTGCACTTCTCCCAGACCACGTTGATCAGATTATATTCCTGAACAAAAATCTGAAGAGAATGTAGATGCAGTTATGTAGAGAGGAGCCTTTCTGTTTAGTGTTTTTGGCTTAAATGTTACTCCTTTGGACTTGAATTATTGGCAGGTACATTTTACATTAAATGTTGTTCTTAGTGACTTGAATTATTGGCTACCTCATATTCTGTGTTAAGCTAAAAATGCTGAAAAAGAATCTGTTCAGAACAGGCCACCTGCTGCACCTTTTAATTCTCCATTGTCCATTGTGATACTGCACTTTATGTACTTACGTTTCAAAGGCTTGTAAACTACAGTTGGCACTGTTTCAATAAATGAAACAAATTTTCTCACCACATCTTTTGAGTCATTTTGTCCAGCATTTGCAAGCTGTAGACTCTCTGTCTAGTCAGAGCCATATATTGTATAATTGATGCTTTCAGTTTTCAGTTGAATTAATTCAATCCAAGTCAATGGAACACTCACAAGATGTCACCAAAATCACACTGTCCCTTTAAAATCTTTCAGAAAATGATGTAAGTATCGAATTATATCGAATCGTATCGAATCGTATCGTTGGCTGAATATCGTGATATATATCGTATTGTGAGCTCAATATCGTGTATCGTATCGTATCGTGAGATTAGTGTATCGTTACAGCCCTATCTATCACCCTCTCTCTCTTCTCTTGATCGCCCCCTCTCTCTCTTCTCTTGATCGCCCTCTCTCTTCTCTTGATCGCCCTCTCTCTCTTCTCTTGATCGCCCTCTCTCTCTTCTCTTGATCACCCTTTTTCTCTTCTCTTGATCGCCCTCTCGCTCTCCTCTTGATCGCCCTCTCTCTCTTCCCTTGATCGCCCTCTCACAGGAGAACACTTCACTGTAGGGTTTCGGCCATGTCTCCACTTTAGTTTGACTCTCTCTCTTCTCTTCTCTCTCTTCTCTTGATTGCACTCTCTCTTCCCTCTCTCTTCTCTTGATCGCCCTCTCTCTCTTCTCTTGATCACCCTCTCACTCTTCTATCATTCTCTATCTCTTCTCTTGATCACCCTCTCTCTCTTCTCTTGATCGCCCTCTCTCTCTTCTCTTGATCGTCCTCTCTCTCTTCTCTTGATCGTCCTCTCT